GTAAGTGTATTCTTTACAATATCTGAAAAATGCTTAGGAACTATAGCTAGTGCAATGAATGCAAGTAGTCTGCTGACCTAGCTCGGCAGAGCCCTGTAAGTTTCACTAGTGGTTATTAAGGCCTTTCAAGAAATTTAGAGGAGGCCTGGTCACAGACCGGGCCATGGGGGCATTGACCCCCGAAACTCTCTCCAGGTAAACACCTAATGTCCTCATACGTGAATAAAGTAAACCTTAATTCATGAAACTCGCTTCCTGGGAGAAGGTGGAAGGAAAAGTGGAGTAAGCCTACAGGGGACACCACCATAAAAAAATGAGCCTTGATGTCTACCTCATAGGTAGTTTGGAAAAAACATCACAAATGGGAAAAACATGAATGGTAACAAAGAATCAGCTTGGATATGAGTAAAACTTTATCAACAATGTTATGAAGATTTCTTAATCACTGAAAATTACAGTGCTCTGGGGGTGTGACAATAAAAAATAAATGTATGTATGTATGTATGTATGTATGTATGTATGTGTGTGTGTGTGTGTGTGTACTCACCTATTTGTGGTTGCAGGGGTCGAGTCACAGCTCCTGGCCCCGCCTCTTCGCTGATTGCTACTAGGTCCTCTCTCTCCCTGCCCCATGAGCTCTATCATACCTCGCCTTAAAACTATGTATGGTTCCTGCCTCCACCACATCACTTTCTAAGCTATTCCATGGCCTGACTACTCTATGACTGAAGAAATACTTCCTAACATCCCTTTGATTCATCTGAGTCTTCAACTTCCAATTGTGACCTCTTGTGTCTGTGTCCCATCTCTGGAACATCCCGTCTTTCTCCACCTCGTCTGTGTGTGTGTGTGTGTGTGTGTGTGTGTGTGTGTGTGTGTGTGTGTGTGTGTGTGTGTGTGTGTGTGAGTGTGAGTGTGTGTGTGTGTGTGTGTGTGTGTGTGTGTGTGTGTGTGTGTGTGTGTGTGTGTGTGTGTGTGTGTGTGTGTGTGTGTGTGTGTGTCTGTGTGTGTGTACGTACTCACCTAGTTGTACTCAAAAAGTTTTGGTTGCAGGGGTTGAGTCATAGCTCCTGGCCCTGCCTCTTCACTGGTTGCTACTGGGTCACTCTCCCTGAACCATGAGCTTTATCATACCTCTGCTTAAAACTATGTATGGATCCTGCCTCCACTACATCACTTCCCAAAATATTCCACTTCCTGACTACTCTGTGACTGAAGAAATACTTCCTAACATCCTTGTAATTCATCTGTGTCTTCAACTTCCAACTGTCTCCCCTTGTTGATGTGTCCCATCTCTGTAACATTCTGTCTTTGTCCACCCTGTCAATTCCTCTCAGTATTTTATATGTCATTATCATGTCCCCCTATCTCTCCTGTCCTCCAGTGTCGTCAGGTCAATTTCCCTTAACCTCTCCTCGCAGGACATACCCCTTAGCTCTGGGACTAGTCTTGTTACCTTTGCACTTTCTCTAGTTTCTTTACGTGCTTAGCTAGGTGTGGGTTCCAAACTGGTGCCGCATACTCCAATATGGGCCTAACGTACACAGTGTTCAGGGTCCTGAACGATTCCTTATTAAGATGTCGGAATGCTGTTCTGAGGTTTGCTAGGTGCCCATATGCTGCAGCAGTTATTTGGTTGATGTGTGCCTCAGGAGATGTGCCTGGTGTTATACTCACCCCAAGATCTCTTTCCTTGAGTGAAGTTTGTAGTCTCTGGCCCCCTAGACTGTACTCCATCTGCTGTCTTCTTTGCCCTTCCCCAATCTTCATGACTTTACACTTGGTGAGGTTGAACTCCAGAAGCCAATTGCTGGACCAGGTCTGCAGCCTGTCCAGATCCCTTTGTAGTTCTGCCTGGTCTTTGTCCGAATGAATTCTTCTCATCAACTTCACATTATCTGCAAACAGGGACACTTCGGAGTCTATTCCTTCCGTCATGTCATTCACAAATACCAGAAACAGCACTGGTCCTAGGACTGACCCCTGTGGGACCCCACTCATCACAGGTGTCCACTCTGACACCTAGCCATGTACCATGACTCACTGCTTCTTCCTGACAAGTATTCCCTGATCCATTGCAGTGCCTTCCCTGTTATCCCTGCCTGGTCCTCCAGTTCTTGCACTAATCTCTTGTGTGGAACTGTGTCAAACGCCTTCTTAAAGCCCAAGAAAATGCAATCTACCCACCCCTCTCTCTCTTGTCTTACTGTGTCACCCTGTCATAGAACTCCAGTAGGTTTGTGACACACGATTTCCTGTCCCTGAAACCATGTTGGCTGCTGTTGATGAGATCATTCCTTTCTAAATGTTCCACCAATCTTCTGATAATCTTCTCTATGACTTTGCATACTATACATGTCAGTGACACTGGTATGTAGTTTAGTGCTTCATGACTGTCTCCCTTTTTAAAAATTGGGACTACGTTTGCTGTCTTCCATACCTCAGATAATCTCCCTGTTTCAATAGATGTGTTGAATATTGTTGATAGGGGTACATATAGTGCATATGCTCCTTCTCTCAGGACCCATGGAGAGATGTTATCTGGCCCCATTGCCTTTGATGTAACTAGCTCACTCAGAAGCCTCTTCACTTCTTCCTCAGTTGTGTGTACTGTGTCCAACACTTGGTGGTGTACCCCACCTCTCCATCTTTCTGGAGTCCCTTCTGTCTCTCCTGTGAACACTTCTTTGAATCTCCTGTTGAGCTCCTCACATACTTTGCGGTCATTTCTTGTTGTCTCTCCTCCTTCCTTCCTAAGCCTGATTACCTGGTCCTTGACTGTTGTTTTCCTCCCGATGTGGCTGCATAACAGCTTCGGGTCAAATTTGGCTTTCGCTGCTATGTCGTTTTCATATTTTCATTGGGCCTCCCTTCTTATCTGTGCATATTCATTTCTGGCTCTATGACTGCTCTCCTTATTCTCCTGGGTCCTTTGTCTTCTATATTTCTTCCATTCCCTAGCACACTTGGTTTTTGCCTCCCTGCACCTTTGGGTGAACCATGGGCTCATCCTGGCTTTTTCATTATTCCTGTTACCCTTGGGTACAAACTTCTCCTCAGCCTCCTTGCACATTGTTGCTACATATTCCGTCATCTCATTAATTGGCTTCCCTGCCAGTTCTCTGTCCCATTGAACACCGTTCATGAAGTTCCTCATTCCCGTGTAGTCCCCTTTCTTGTAGTTTGGCTTCATTCGTCCTGGCCTTCCTGCTTCCCCCCCCCCCACTTGTAGCTCTACTGTGTATTCGAAGCTTAAAACCACATGATCGCTGGCCCCAAGGGGTCTTTCATATGTGATGTCCTCAATATCTGCACTACTCAAGGTGAATACTAGGTCCAGTCTTGCTGGTTCATCCTCTCCTCTCTCTCTTGTAGTGTCCCTTACGTGTTGGTACATGAAGTTTTCCAGTACCACCTCCATCATCTTAGCCCTCCATGTATCTTGGCCCCCATGTGGCTCCAAGTTCTCCCAATCTATCTCCTTGTGGTTAAAGTCACCCATGATCAGGAGCTTTGCCCTACATGCATGAGCTCTTCTGGCCACTGCAGCCAGTGTGTCAACCATTGCTCTATTGTTCTCGTCATACTCTTGCCTTGGCCTCCTGCTGTTCTGTGTGTGTGTGTGTGTGTGTGTGTGTGTGTGTGTGTGTGTGTGTGTGTGTGTGTGTGTGTGTGTGTGTGTGTGTGTGTGTGTGTGTGTGTGTGCATGCACGCTCACCTAATTGTAGTTGCAGGGGTCGAGACTTGGCTCCTGGCCCCGTCTCTTCACTGACCGCTACTGGGTCCTCCCTCTTCCTGCTCCATGAGCTTTATCATACCTCATCTTAAAACTATGTATGTTTCCTACCTCCACTACATCACTTGTGTGCATGTGTGTACATGCGTGTGCATGAGTGTGTATGTGTATGTGTGTGTAAAGCACAACTACCACCCTCCCTATGCCACAACTACCACCCTCCCTATGCCACAATTACCACCCTCCCTATGCCACAACTACCACCCTCCCTATGCCACAACTACCACCCTCCCTATGCCACAACTACCACCCTCCCTATGCCACAACTACCACCCTCCCTATGCCACAATTACCACCCTCCCTATGCCACAACTACCACCCTCCCTATGCCACAACTACCACCCTCCCTATGCCACAACTACCACCCTCCCTATGCCACAACTACCACCCTCCCTATGCCACAACTACCACCCTCCCTATGCCACAACTACCACCCTCCCTATGCCACAATTACCACCCTCCCTATGCCACAACTACCACCCTCCCTATGCCACAACTACCACCCTCCCTATGCCACAACTACCACCCTCCCTATGCCACAACTACCACCCTCCCTATGCCACAACTACCACCCTCCCTATGCCACAACTACCACCCTCCCTATGCCACAACTACCACCCTCCCTATGAAACAACTACCACCCTCCCTATGCCACAATTACCACCCTCCCTATGCCACAACTACCACCCTCCCTATGCCACAACTACCACCCTCCCTATGCCACAACTACCACCCTCCCTATGCCACAACTACCACCCTCCCTATGCCACAACTACCACCCTCCCTATGCCACAACTACCACCCTCCCTATGCCACAATTACCACCCTCCCTATGCCACAACTACCACCCTCCCTATGCCACAACTACCACCCTCCCTATGCCACAACTACCACCCTCCCTATGCCACAACTACCACCCTCCCTATGCCACAATTACCACCCTCCCTATGCCACAACTACCACCCTCCCTATGCCACAACTACCACCCTCCCTATGCCACAACTACCATCCTCCCTATGCCACAACTACCACCCTCCCTATGCCACAATTACCACCCTCCCCATGCCACAACTACCACCCTCCCCATGCCACAACTACCACCCTCCCTATGCCACAACTGCCACTCTCCCTATGCCACAATTACCACCCTCCCTATGCCACAATTACCACCCTCCCTATGCCACAATTACCACCCTCCTTACAACACAACTACCACCCTCCCTATGCCACAACTGCCACTCTCCCTATGCCACAATTACTACCCTCCCTATGCCACAACTACCACCCTCCCTATGCCACAACTACCACCATCCCTACACAACTTTGAGCATGCTTGCATCACAACTACTATCACAACGCAACTACAAGAATCCCTGCCCCATAACTACGAAGATCTCTACATCACAACTACCTCTACTAACACTTTACTATGACACCAACAAAACTGCACTACTTACAAACTACTACACTGCCACAACTACTAACAAACCACTATTCAGTAGGGCCCCACTTACACGGCAGGTTAGGTTCCAGGCTACCGCCGGAAAACAGACATCACCAGAAAGAAGAACACCATTTTTTCTACTTATAAATGCCAGATAACAAGTTTACACCAACATCTACATATGAAGTTAGCAATAGAACTAGGCATTAAAAACAATAAAAATTAAAATACACACACAGTACACTCATTATTTACCTTAAAATATTTGTAGTCTTAATACAGTGGACCCCCGCTTAACGATCACCTCCCAATGCGACCAATTATGTAAGTGTATTTATGTAAGTGCATTTGTATGTGTTGTTTGGGGGTCTGAAATGGACTAATCTACTTCACAATATTCCTTATGGGAACAAATTCGGTCAGTACTGGCACCTGAACATACTTCTGGAATGAAAAAATATCGTTAACCGGGGGTCCACTGTATAGTGTGAGAGGTGAGTTGTGGTAGGTATGGTCACCCCACCCACACATAATATACATTTGAAGTGCCCTAGAGCGGTAGACTGCATATACAGTACGCTCATTACTTACCTTAAAATATTTGTAGTCATAATGTAGGGTTAGAAGTGAGTAGTATATATTGTAAGAGGTCAGGTATGGTAGTCAGGTGTGGTAGGTATGGTCACCCCACCCACACATAATACAAATTTAAAGTGCCCTAGAGCGATAAAATGCATATATCTTACCTTAAAATATTTGTAGTCTTAATGTAGGGCGAGAGGTGAGTAAACGAGATAAAACAAATAAACGAGAAAGAGTAAATGAGATAGGAGAGAGACGCAGAGTCTGTAAACAAGCAGACGAATGCTTCTGGTTATTGTTCAGACACGTTTATTTCCATGTTTGTGAGTAAGTAAGCTTTTATAGTTACACATAAATGCAGTTACAGTGAACCCCTGGTTGTTGTAATTAATCCATTCCAGAGAGAGTGACTAAACCTGAATCTGACGATTTACGAATTAATTTTCCCTATGAGAAATAATGGAAATCCAATTACATGTAATCCATACCAGACACCCGAAAGTATTAAAAAAATCATTTTTTTACATGAAATATACATTTCTCTACAAAGAAAACAATGAGACATGCAGAATAAAACAATACTAAAATGATACTTACCTTTATTGAAGACTTATTGATGAGTGATGAGATGGGAGGAGGGGAGAGGCTGGAGGTGTACTATTGTTTGGAAGGGAAATCCCCTTCCATAAAGACTTCAGATACCAAGTCCTTTTCTGGGGTTACTTCCCTTCTTTGTGTTTTAATGCCACTAGGACCAGCTTGAGAGTCACTGGACCCCTATCACTCAAAAAAGTGTTCCAGAGAGGTCTATATCTGGCATTTCTTTAAAACTTCCCTAAAATAGGACACAACATTGTCACTGTACATGTTGCCAACACGGCCTGCAACAGCTTTGTCAGAGTGAAGTTCATCTATAAATGTTTGCACATTTGTCCACACTGTACAAATCTCCTTTATCTTTGAAGAAGGCACCTTCCTCCATCTCTCTTCCTCCTCCTCTGAAGCAATTTCCTGAGCTGTGGTCTCTTGCTGTTACAGATGAAGCTCTTGCAGCTCTGTAGTGGTTAGCTCTTCATCATGGTCCTCCTGCAACTCTTCCACATCCTCAAAACTCACATCCAACCCCATGGAATTCCCCAATGCCACAATACTTTCTACAACTGACATAGGCTCCTCAGGGTCAGCCCCAAACCCTTCAAAATCCCTCTCTCGTACACATTGTGGCCATAATTTTCTCCAAGCAGAGTTGAAAGTCCTGGAAGTCACTCCCTCCCAAGCCTTACCTATAAGGTTTATGCAATGGAGAATACTGAAGTGATCTTTCCAGAACTTTCTTAGGGTCAATTCAGTGTCTGAGGTCACTTCAAAGTACTTTTGAAACACTGCTTAGATGTACAGCTTTTTGAAATTTCAAATGACCTGCTGGTCCGTGGGCTGGAGGAGAGGAGTGGTATTGGGGGCAAGAACTTTACTTTGATGAAATGAAACCCCTGCACCATTTCCTCTTCCAAGTCTGGAGGATGAGCAGGAGCATTGTCCATTACCAGGAGGCAGATGAGTTCCAATTTATTTTCCCAGAGGTATTTCTACACACTGCGTCCAAACACTTCATTGAACCAATTAAGGAAAATGTCCCTCGTGACCCATGCCTTACTGTTTGCCTTCCACATCACACACAATTTACTCTTGGTGACAATGTTTTTCTTGAACACTGGGATTTTCAGAGTGATACATCAGTAAAGGCTTCACTTTGAAATCTCCACTAGCATTACTACAAAACATTACAGTTAGCCTGTCTTTCATAGGCTTGCGTGCTCGGAGTGCCTTTTCCTCCTGAGTAATGTAGGTCCTCTTTGGCATTTTCTTCCAAAAGAGGCCTGTTTTGTCACAACTGAGCACCAGTTGGGGTTTGAATTTTTCAACCTCTATGTATTCCTTGAATTCCTGAACATATTTTTCAGCCGCTTTTTTGTCAGAACTGGCAGCCTCACCATGCCTTATCACACAATGTATGCCACTATGCTTCTTAAATCTCTTAAACCAGCCTTTGCTAGCCTTAAATTCACCAATATCAGCACTAGTTCCAGGCATTTTTTTTACGAGATCATCATGCAACTGCCTTACCTTTTCACAAATTGTTGACTGCATAACACTATCTCTTGTATTTGTGATCTCTGTTTTGCAAACATATTTGCACCTTTTGCAGCAACAGCTTCCTTGATTTCCTTTCTCTTGGCCACGAGAGAAGTAATGGTTGTGTGGGGTTTGTTTTACAACCTGTCCAGCTCGACGATACGCACTCCACTTTCATATTTTGCAATGATGTCTTTCTTGAATTCTGTAGTGTTTCTCACCCTCTTTACCAAAGGGCTGGCACTAGAAGCTTTCTTTGGGCCCATGGTGGCTTATTTAGCAGTTACAAGAAATAAAAATAATGGAATAATACAAAATGTATCATATGAACGTGTGGGATCGTCCTCACTGGCTGATAAACATTGGCACACTGACTGTAAATGGTGTGTTGGGCTGCTCAGACCGCCCGGACATGTTCGGGACGAATGACTAATACCGAGTTCAATGACAATCACCGAGCCAATATTTTGATGAAAAAATGTTACTCATTCCAAATATTACGAAATCTGACGACAATGTAATCCGTGGGTCCACTGTACTATATAAAATATGAAAAAACTTTAAAACACTTGAAATTTGGAAAAGTTTCCAAACATAAAATAGAGATGTGCTCATGGAGAATGTAAACAAACCTCAAATTTCGAGGGTTGCAGCACCAACCTGCCACTACTGTTTGAACATAAGAAAAAAAGGAACACTGCAGCAGGCCTACTGGCCCATGTGAGGCAGGTCCAGTTCTCCCACCAGCTTAAGCCAATGCCTTGACCTAGTCAGGTCAGTCACATTCACTTAAGGGAGGAGCACAGCATCTGACCTAGTAGCACGAGCTAGTCAAGTCCAACTCAGATCCACTCATATATTTATCAAACCAATTTTTAAAACTACACAACGTCTTAGCTTCTATGACAGTACTCGGGAGTTTGCTCCACTCATCCACAACTCTATTACTAAACCAGTGCTTTCCTATATCCTTCCTGAATCTGAATTTTTCCAATTTAAAACCATTGCTGTAAGTCCTGTTTATGCTAGATATTTTCAGCACATTATTTACATCCCCTTTATTAATTCCTGTTTTACACTTATACACCTCAATCATATCCTCCCTAATTCTATGCCTTTCTAGAGAGTGCAGATTCAGAGCCCTCAGTCTAACCTCATAGGGAAGATTTCTGATACATGGGATCAACTTTGTCATCCTCCTTTGTACATTTTCCAGTGCATTTATACCCATTCCGTAATACGATGACCAAAACTGCGCAGCATAATCTGAATGAGGCCTAACCAAAGACATATAGAGTTGAAGAACAACCTAAGGACATCTATTATTTATACTTCTTGCTATGAAGCCAAGGATTCTGTTAGCTTTATTGCAAACACTTATGCACTGTTATCTTGGTTTCAGATTACTGCATTAGTCATGCCAAGTTGCTTTTCTCCATTTATTGTTATAACCTGCTCACTTTTAACCCTAGCCATGGTTCCAATGAACAAAGGAATTGCTTCTCATTGTGTAAAGTGCAAACACCATACATTTTCCATGAAAGATAAGGTTGAACTTTTGAAAAAACTCGACAGCGGTGTGTCTGTGAGAAGATTGTGTGAATTATACAGCATTGGCTCTTCGACAGTTTATGACATAAAGAAACAGAAAGAAAAATTACTGAGTTTCTCTGCTTATTGATCCCAAGAAACAGATGTGTAAAAGGAAAACAATGAAGGAAAGAAAACGTTCAGAACTATATCTAGTTCTGACGAAGTGGATAAGGCTACGTGTAAGTGAAGGTGTTAAGCTGTTTGGAGCTCTGGTGAAGGAACAAGCTAAAATTTTTCATGAAGAACTAGGACTAGATTATGAGTGTGATTATAGCGAAGGTTGGCTGCAGGATTTCAAGGATCGACATGGCTTAAAGTTTCGTGCAGTGTGGCAAAAAACATTCAGCAGACACAGAAGGAGCTACTAAACTTGTTGATGAGTTTGCTAAGTTATTTTCAGATGAAAAATTAAGTCCCAAGCAGGTCTACAATGCAGATGAGACAGCATTGTATTGGAAATGTGCACCAAGAAAAACTCTGACAACTAAGGATGCAAAATCACTAGCGGGATATAAAGCATCAAAAGATCGTGTCACTGTGTTGGGCTACTCTAATGCAGCAGGATCACACACATGTGAGTTGCTGGTCATCAGTAAAAGTTTATGTACCAGGGCTTTCAAAGGTATGACACAGTTTCCTATGATTTACCATGCCAACAAAAAAAAGGATGGATAACAAGTGACATTACACTGAATTGGTTTGAAAATTATTTTGTTCCCAAAGCAAGAGCTCACTGTGACTATTGGTCTGGACCACAACTGTAAGATAATGCTTATTTTAGACAACTGTTCAATACATTCAAAAACAGAACTCCTAGCAAAGAGCATTTTCAGTATGTACTTCCCACCTAACCGCACATCATTAATTCAAATCCAGGACAATGGCATACTACGTTCTTTTAAGTCTAAGCATCACACCCATATTATGAGGTACCTACTGACTGCAGTTAACTTTGGCAGACCAGTATGTGAGTTTTTTAAGGAATTTAATGTGAGAGATATGGTTTACTGTGTTGCCAATGTTTGGAAGTCTGTAGAGACATCCACACTGAAAAATGGATGGGTTAATGGTCAGAGTTAATGTTTGAGACTGCACCTGGTGAAGACACTGAAAATGACTTTACAGGATTAAGGGCTTCAAAGGGAAAACAGATCATACATGAACTGCTTTCTTTTGCTCGTGATAAGGCTAATCCTGCTGCGAAGGATCTTGCATTGAGGATGGATGTAGATAATGTTGCGGAATGGATGAATGTAGATGAAGATGCAGCTACTGTTCAACATTATACTGACTCAGAAATTGTGCAGATGGTTGTAAATCCACAGCAACAAGCCAGAGGAGAAAGCAGTGATGAAGAAGTAGCAGAAAGTCTCTTTATTGACAGGTTAATTTAGTTGCCAGGTGAACTCCTAAAAGGTCTAGAGCAACGCAGTTTTATGAGTGAACAAGAAATAACGAACGTTTACATGCTGCAAGAAAAAGTAATCAAAAAAAGGCCAAAATATATGAAACAGCTCAGCTTGCAAGATTACTTTTTTTATTAACACATCAGCCATTTCCCACCAAGGCAGAGTGGCTCGAAAAAGAAAAACTTTCATCGTCATTCACTCCATCACTGTCTTGCCAGAGGTATGCCTACACTACAGTTATAAAACTACAGCATTAACACCACTCCTTCAGAGTGCAGACACTGTACATCTCATCTCCAGGACTCAAGTCCGGCCTGCTGGTTTCCCTGAATCCCTTCATAAATGTTACCTTGCTTACACTCCAACAGCATATCAAGTCCTAAAAACCATTTGTCTCCATTTGCTCCTGTCTAACATGCTCAAGCACGCTTGCTGGAAGTCCAAGCCCCTCGTACACAAAACCTCCTTTACCCCCTCCCTCCAACCTTTCCTAGGCTGACCCCTAGGTCAGCCTAGGAAAGGCTGCCTTCCCTCCACTACAGATTTGTATACTCTGAAGATATGTTAAAAAAAAAAATAGCTAAAGAGCATGCAACAGAGTAGTCAGCACTTGAAAATCTAGTCCCTTCAATATCTGCTCACCCAGATGTGCTGCCACCATCATCATCAGTTCCTGATATCTGAGTCACCTTCCAAGATGAAGATGGAAATCCTGAAAGTCCTTCACCTCAAGATGGCAACCCTGACAGCCCTTCACCTCAATACATGGAAATGTGTTTAGTTGTAAATTTCAGCTCTTCACTTTGGAAGCGGCAGTGATGAACATTCTTGTGTAAGTCAAGTTGGTTAACTTGATTAACCTTTATTAAGTGTATTCTAACCTAACCACTCTGTGATTTGGCAAAATCACTAATCTGGCACCCTTCAGGTCCCAGTGATGCAGGATTAGTGATGGTGGACCTGTACTATGCCACAGACCACAAGAGTTAATAAGGAAAAGCACCTTTGAATACTATAAAAGTGTGTAATGAAGGTCTGAAGAAGAGTGCTTGTTTAATGCAGGCTTGTTCCTCAAGCTTAAACTTTGCAGTTGATTGCATAATAAATTTTCTATTGAAAGTTCTTCTACTGACCACACAGCTGCAAGTCATAGTCACCAAGGGTGACTATGAATCAAGTATTTAATGCTGAAGTAATAAGGCATTGTTGAAAAAAGATGCCATCGATAACTTATATTAGCAAGCAAGAGAAAAGTGCTATGGGGCTCAAGGCAGCAAAGGATCGCCTCAACTTATTACTTTGCAGTAACACGTCAGACAATTTAACTCTCTGAGGGCCCATCCCGTAGTTCTATGGCTCTGAAGCCAGGGCCCAAGCCGTAGTACTACGTCACGAGCTCAGCTCACTCAGATAAGCAGTAAGAGGTAAATTTGGGTCTAAATATGAGAGAATGCATCTATGTGGTAGTGTGCACCACATATAACAAATCCTGCAGCACACAGTGCATGAGAAAAAACTGCGACCATGGTTTTGGATTAAAACGGCAACTTTGCGGTGTATTTTTGTATGTTTTACAGTTGTATTCACGATTCAATGGTCTCATATGATGGAATGGAAGATATATCACAGAAACAGAGATGATTTTGATTGGTTTTAGTAATGAAAATAGCTTGAAATTGAGCTCAAAGTAGCGGAAATGTTCGATTTTTGCTGATGTTCAGGAATAAACAAATGACGTCATGCATCCAATACATATCAACTGGTGGGTCTATGTTCATGAATGCGCTGATATTATTTATACAAGTATTACAATATAGCATAACAGTAAATCTTCTAATTTTTGGTGTGAATAAAAATTCTTTATGTGAATGAAAAATCAAAATGGAATTCATCTGTAAAGCCAGAAAATGTAACTAATAAACAGAGAAAATGTTACTTTAGTGCCAGGAATGTCTGCAATGTTTATTCTGGACCCTACTTTGAAATTTGAATATTTTGAACTTTGTGTGAAATTGGTCAAATTACTAATTTCTGATCACTTTATTGGGTAGTTGAAATAGTTAATTGGGCAGTTTCTTGCACTCAATTGATAAAATAGAAGTGAAACTAGCAAAATAGCTAAGAATTTGGCTGACTGGAATAATGTAATTGGCCTAAAATAGGAGTCAAAGTGGGCAAAATCGCCGATGTGTCAATATCACTCATGCAGTAAAACTTGCGATAGTGTAATTTTGTCAACTTTTCATCAAATTTCATACTTTTCACTTTATTACCTTCAGAAAAAGATTCTCTACCATTTCATAAGAAAAAAAATAATAACTGGACCCTGTGGACAAGGCATAGAACTACAAATGGGTTCACATTTAACCCTCAAAGGGTTCAATGTGAACCTATGCTTATTTACAACCCCAAGATGCCTTGTGCTTTAAAAAGTACAAATAAAACCACTTTACCAGTTATTTGGAGGTCAAACCACTCCCATCTTCTACTAGAATAACATATTGACAATCAGCACCCAAGTCATCAAGAGTTTCAAGTATAATTTCTCCAGATGGCATGGATGACTCTTGGGCAGACACTTGATACATAACCTTGGTTTCCTTCAGTTCAACCACAGGTGGCACAAAAACTAGAGTATCTTTAGATTTTACAAAACTCTGCTGTTCATTATAAAAGTTTGATATACAAGAGGCTACAGTTTCTATGTTTGGTTGTTCAATTTTCCTATTTAAAATATTTACACATCTGCTTGTAAAGTCTGCAGGCACCAGTTCTATTCTTGCACTGCTGTTCAATGAAGCCTGACTGGTTTTATCATTATCAAGTTTACAGTGAACAGAAGTTATCTTTGGTAACACTGTATCCTGAAGCTCCTCTTCTTTAAAACTAGCTGCTACAGTAGGTTTTGTCCTTGTTACCCCTTCAGTTCTGTTGATACTCTTGTCTTCATCATCTCCAATTTTTTTTGATCTGCAACAGAGGTACAGATGTTTGTGCAAAAAGCCACGAAGCAATATATCACTGTACATAAAATATAACAGCATTTGATCAAGAATGAGGGCTTAATCTAAAATATAAAATTATATCCTCATAAACAAATTAAAGCACATATACAACGAAAAACATCAAATTATTCAGAAAAGAAATGAATGGCCAGACTGCCTTTGTTTCCAGAAAACTATTGATTGAGTTCCTAATTACAGAAACTACAAAGATATAATGGATCAAAGAAAACTATTACAGAGGCTGGGAGTTTCTCTCTGAAGAAGAAAATTATTAAAGTGATAGAAAATATGTCCTTCACAGGGAACTGTGACAGCAGGGTATCACAGGGATCATTACTGGCCTCATTACAGATTTAAATTCACACAATAACTTTTATTCCAGAAAAAAATAAAAATCTCTGTCAATGATGAAAAGATTCTATGCAAAATAATTTACAGAAATAACTGTAATTCCCACAAGATTTAACTTAATGACATAAATATTGTTGAGGCTGATAACACAGTCACTTTATAGACCTATGGGTATAAGTGTGTTGCCTAGATCATCTGGGTTAGCAGCAAGCATACATACACACTATGCAATGCAACTAGTCCACCACAAAAATATATTGATACTTGATTAGTAGTATTATAATTATGGGGAAGCAGTCAAACAGTACCTTGGGACTGGGAAGTAATCAGGTTTGATCTAACGAGGTGAAGAACAGCTCAAATTCTCTGCATCAAGAACCCCTCAAGGGAGGTTCCTTGATGCTTGTGAAGGGCTCTTAATTTAAAGAATTGGACCTATGCTCCAGTTTGTGGAATCGAGTCTGAATGTCTTAAATTTCCCCAGGTTCTATGACCTTTATGGGTTTAACACCACTCCCCCCTTTCCCTATGTCTGAGGTGCTTCCTTTGAAAGGTGTGTGGCTACCTGATGTTTGCAGTTAGTTAAGTGCTGGAGAGCAGGACATTTAATGTACTGCATCGCATTATAATTATTCAGATGATATATTAATTAATGGATTTTTTTTTATTTAACATGCTGCCTGTCTCCCACCAAGGCAGGGTAACCTGAAAAAAGAAGAAATACTTTCACCATCATTCCCACCATCACAGTTTTGCCAGAAGCACACAGATACAGCAGTTCAGATGTCTCTCCAAACAGCAAATATCCCAAATGCCTCCTTTAGAATGCAGGCATTGTACTTCCCATCTCTAGGACTTAAGTCCAGCTGACCAGTTTCCCTGAATCTCTTCAAAAAGTGCTTCAAATCCAACAGCATATTTAGTATCCCTAAAAATCACCATGTAACAGTGAGTATACTTATACACCCTGTAATCATTCCCTAACAATTTTAATGTAACAGTGATAATATTTACTTACCTTGTAACTATGAGTACCTCCTGCCTGCTAATACTGTACTAGGATCAAATATTTGTGAAGACTTTAAGTGCTGTCAAATCTCTTAAAAATACATTTTTTTTTTTTGTTAACACGTCCATTTCCCATTGAGACGGTGACCCAAAAAGAAAGAAAAACCTAAAAATACATATACAGTGGACCCCCAGTTAATGATATTTTTTCATTCCAGAAGTATGTTCAGGTGCCAGTACTGACCGAATTTGTTCCCATAAGGAATATTGTGAAGTAGATTAGTCCATTTCAGACCCCCAAACATACACGTACAAATGCACTTACATAAATACACTTACATAATTGGTAGCATTGGGAGGTGATCGTTAAGCGGGGGTCCACTGTACAGGTCTCCCTCAACATTCACGTTTTCAACTTTCACGGGCTTCACACATTCGCGAATTCCCAACCGCCAAATTCCCAGCCACCAAATTCACAGCCGCCAAATCATATTTAAGTTTCTCGCCACCTGCGAGTCCCTACTACCCTCCCTCCGACCCCCGCAACTGGCTGCCAGCCCTCCCACCACTCAGTGTGGTGAGTGTTTTGTTTGTTCAATATTTGCTATTAAACTACAGTATAAATAATGTAAACCCATTCATGAGTGCATATTGGAATGGCTATTCGGACAGGTATTAGACGGTGACATCATGTGTTTACTCTTGAACACTGCAAAGAATTAAACATTTCTGCTACAGCTAATAATAACAATAGTAATAATAATAATAATAATACTAATAATAATAATAATAATAATAATAATAAATATGATATAATTGAAGAAGGAAATTGTACAAAAATACGAGGGAGTGGTTGACACATCGTCAGTGTGACTTTGTTTATGCTTGAGTAAACATTAGTCTCCCTGCTCTTCCAAACATTTCACAATAATTCATTGTGTTTGGTGCTTGTAGACTGAGTGTGACTGGAGTGGTAGAGGCAGTGATTGAGGCAATGGTATTTAATAACATACATGTTAATAATAATACATGTTGTTAATAATATGTACTATTATTATTTATAACATATATGTTATTAAATACATACATGTTAATAATAATACATGTTATTAATAATAACATGTACTATTATTATTTATAACATATATGTTATTAAATACCACTGCCTCAACTGTTGAATTATTGTGAAATGTTTGGAAGAGCAGGGAGACTAATGTTCACTCCAGCATAAACAAAGTCACACTGACGATGTGTCAACCACTCCCTCGTATTTTTGTACAATTTCCTTCTTTAATTATATCGTATTTATTATTATTATTATTATTATTATTATTACTATTGTATTATTAGCAATAGCAGAAATGTTCGATTCTTTGCTGTGTTCAAGAGTAAACACATGATGTCACCGTCTAATACCTTTCCTAATAGCCATTCCAATATGCAGTCATGAATGGGTTTACATTATTTATTCTGTATTTTAATAGCAAATAATGAACAAACAAAACACTCACCACACTGAGTGGTGGGAGGGCTGGCTGCCAGTTGCGGGGGTCAGAGGGAGGGTAGTAGGGACTCGCAGTGGTGGAGGCATTGGTGGAGTCTGTGGTATTTAATAGCATACATGTTATTAACATACATGTTATTAAATAACATACATTATTAAAGCATAACATGTATATATTTAGTACAATTTACGACGTTTTCATGTATTTTATGATTATTCATGGTTCAACAAGTTAAGGAAGCAGTATTGTAATATATTTCCCTACAATATATTGGGGCACCAAACATTCACGGTTTTTCAACATTCGCGAGGCTCCTGATCCCCTAACCCTCGCGAATGTTGAGGGAGACCTGTACAGTATAAATAAATTACAACATTAATAACTTACTTATTGCTTTTGGCATTACAGGGCTTCATATTAGCCTCCAAATCAGTGACACAGACATTTTTATGTTTTTCTAAAGCATCCTCTGCAGAAAATAATAACTTGCATTTTAAACATTTGTGCTGAGCAAATCCATGAACCTAGAAGAGAAAGTGTGCTTTAAAACATTTGCAAAATACCAAAACATTTCCCACACACACACATACACATGTGCATTTATAACAGCCTACTCTTAAATACTTCATGAAAATTATGAGCAATTCCACTTCGCTAACAGTCCGACTAAGCCAATGAAACATTTATCAACGCAAGGAACTGTTGTGACAGTTTCCATACTTCTCAAAAATTTTATCTTTTTCTACAGTTGCTTGTAAACCTTAAATACTATTCCAAGTATTAATACTAAATGACACTGCAGAGGGCATAAAAGTTACTCTAATTTTATTACAAAATGCTCAAATAAATGCAGCTCTTTTTTTTTCTTTAAAACACCATGGCATTCAATCATATTCAAACTTCCTATTTAAGCCATGAAAAGCCTAACACTCCTAGAAGACACCTCAGCAATCACTACTGTACAACATATAAATACTGTACAATACATAAGCTTCACATAGCAAAAGACAAACAAATCATGCATTCAGAATATGACAAGTTTGTATACATTGTACCTATTTTTTTCTGAAGCCTTTTTGAACAATAATTCTAGGAATTGTCTGATATATTTACTCATGAATCAGATCTGGTAATACATAAAGACATTCCTAATCAACCATCATTTGTTTGATACCTGTCCTGCCAGAAGCACATGCATATCACAATTCAAATAACCCTTCAAATCCCAATATCCCTGCCCCTCCTTTAGAGTGAAGGTACATACAATGTACTCTGATAATTATACTAATGTGTACCTGTACCTAAATAAACTTGCACACTGTGCTGGCATGCAGATACACATTAAAATCACTAAGTGTCCCTCTAGTCTTGATGTCATAGTAATAATGATAATACTATTTTTTTGTCAACAAACCGGCCGTATCCCACCAAGGTAGGGTGGCCCAAAAAGAAAAACGAAAGTTTCTCTTTTTAAATTTAGTAATTTATACAGGAGAAGGGGTTACTAGGACCTTGCTCCCGGCATTTTAGTCGCCTCTTACAACACGCATGGCTTACGGAGGAAGAATTCTGTTCTACTTCCCCATGGAGATAAGAGGAAATAAACAAGAACAAGAACTAGAAAGAAAATAGAAGAAAACCCAGAGGGGTGTGTATATATATACTTGTACATGTATGTGTAGTGTGACCTTAGTATAAGTAGAAGTAGTAAGACGTATCTGAAATCTTGCATGTTTATGAGACAGAAAAAAGACACCAGCAATCCTACCATCATGTAAAACAATTACAAGTTTCCGTTTTACACTCACTTGGCAGGACGGTAGTACCTCCCTGGGTGGTTGCTGTCTACCAACCTACTACCTACAATAATAATACTAATATGTAATAATATTAACCACTCTTGGACACATTAAATGTCTTATTTTACATTAATACTATAGGGACATTTCCATTAATCCATCTATGATATTTTCTTCAGAATTATGTAAGAAACACGTTACACAGCATATATGTACCTGGAGTATACCTGGAAAGGGTTTCGGGGGTCAACACCCCCGCAGCCCAGTCTGTAACCAGGCCTCACTGTGGATCAGGGCCTGATCAACCAGGCTGTTACTGTTGGTCACACGCAACCTGACAAACGAACCACAGCCCGGCTAGTCAGGTACTAACTTTAGGTGCCTGTTCAGCGCTTTCTTGAAGACAGTCAGGGGTCTAATGGTAATCACCCTTATGTACGCTCAGAGGCAGTTGAACAGTCTTGGGCCCCTCACATTTATTGTGTTGTCTCTTTACTGTGCTAATGGTGCCCCTGCTTTTCATTGGGGGGATGCTGCATCATCTGCTGAGTCTTTTGATTTCATAGGGAGTGATTTTTGTGTGCAAGTTTGGTACTAATCCCTCTAGGATTTTCCGAGTGATAAATACACCCAAAGTAGAAAAAAATTCACATAAATATGATATGTAGCCAGGGAAAAAAAAAACATTTTCTCTGAGCTAGCACCAAAGAAAATGTATCACTCCACCTTTGATCGAGTGACTTCCCTTAACCCTTTAAGAGTCCGTCCCATATTTCTACGGCTTTGAAGCTAGGGTCCAAGCCGTAGTATTACGTCATGAGCTCAGCTCATTCAGATAAGCTGTGAGCAGTAAATCTGAGCCTAGATATGAGAGACTGCATCTACATGGCAAGTGTACACCATTATTATAAAACAAATCCTGCAGCAGCAGTGCATAATGAGAGAAAAAAAAAAACTGTGACCGTGTTTTTGGATTAAAACAGCAAGTTTGTGGTGTATTTTCATATGTTTTTTATGGTTGTATTCACGGTTTCTTGGTCTCATTTCATAGAATGGAGGATATATTACAGACATAGAGACGATTTTGACTGGTACTGAAAACAGCTTGAAAATGAGCTCAAATTAGCAGAAATGTTCAATTTTTGCCCAGGTTCAAGAGTAAGCAAATCACATCACAGAACCAATACACATCAGCTGGTGGGTCTAATGTGTGTTCATGAATGTGCTGATATTATTTATACAATTATTACAATATTGTATAACAATAAATCTTCTATTTTTTGGTGAAAATAAAAATTCTTTGTGAATAAAAAAATAAAAATGAAATTCATGTGTAAAGCCTGGAAACATAACTAATAAACAGAAGAAATGTAATTTTAGTGCCAGGAATGCCTGTATTGTTTATTCTGGACCCTATTTTGAAATTGAAATATTTTGAACTTTGTGTGAAATTGGCCAAATTACCAATTTCCAATCAATTTATTGGGTAGCTGAAATAGTTGACTGGGCGATTTCTTGTGCTCAATAGATAAAATGTAACACATACTAACAAAATAGCTAAAAATTTGGTCTAATGGAACAAAGTAATTGGCCACTCAAAGTGGGCAAAATCACCAATGCATAAATGTTGCTGACACAGCAAATTTTGCCAGTGTAATTTCTTAATTTTTTTAATCGAATTTTGCACTTTTTGTTTTATTACCTTCAGAAAAAGATTCTCTTCCATTTCATAAGAAAAAATAATAAAAACTTTTTTTGAAAATTCTTGAACCCCGTGAAGAATTTTCAGATTGGGAGTCTGGACCCTCAAAGGGTTAAAGCATTTGGCTTTGTTTACAATTATCGGCATGACTTCTTGTGAGGGAAAAGTTCATTAAATAAAAGTGGAAGCTGAATGAGTGGTGGAGGTAGTATGTCAGTTCAGAAAGGGGTATGTGAGCTGTTACTTTTACCCTCTCACTTCCCTTCTCCACCCAGTGGGAGTCAACCAGGGACCCTTGCTGATGGAGGAAAGTCACCTGGCTTCCAGCTCTCATCAAGTCTGTGAGTATGGAGTTCCACTCTTGATTAGTTATTTCATGTTCGGATTTTTACTTAATTGAATATAGACAAGAGTTCTACTCTTCTTGGGTTTTTTAATTTGTTTGCCCAGACTTGATTATACTTACATTAATAATGTAATGTTTAGAGTCATCACCATTACCTTCATAAACCTTCAGCCTATCATGTGAATGACTTCCTGTCTGGTTCATAATTTCCTTTTATTTTCTTCTCAGCCTTGCTGTATGGTTCGAGTCACCAAACAGGAGCAAGATGAGAAGAGCAGCTTGATCTAATCATAGGTCTAAAACTTGGTATTTCATCCTGGGAACTCTTATGTTCCTCCACCTCTGGCCAGAATCTACACTTCTGTATCATTACGAGGACTGCTGTTCTACCACTGTGCAGCTCTATGATCTCTTCAAAGCCCTCATCTTGAAAACTCTGCTTTTTCCTATACCACCAGGAAAGGGATACTATTTCTACAACATTTTACGGTTAAGGAACTTGGCCTATTCCTTATACCTCTGTTGCAATCTCCAATTGTCTACCACTGTCAGCAGTCAACTCTGTTACTTGAGCTGCTAGCAGTATATATGTAGAGAACCTAGGGTAACCCAAAAAAGTCAGAGTGACTTATGTATTTCCACTGGGGTCCTTCCTTTGTTCCTTGGCACTTCCTTTTAGTCGACATCTTGTATTATGGGATGCACAATAAAGTACAAATATGTAGTCTTAGAGACTGTGAAAGCTAGTGCACTGAGTGGCTGTGGGAAGGAGACTGAGATGCTCGATGCTGAGATGTCACGCTGCTCGTTTCCATGACCCAAGTTCTTGTACAGCATATAATACTGACTTGTCAGAGAGCCCATTGTAACTCCAAGTTGTCGGTAAATGAGTACGTCGGTAAGTGAGAAGAGACTGCATTTTTATGTTTATACAGTAGTGTACTGTATATTGTAATAAATAGAATAGATGAAATCAGCTCAAATATGCATTACAGTATTTAGTTATGCATACTGGTCAGAGTCATGAGTCATTGGTAAATGAGTATGTCACTAAGTGAGGAGAGGCTGTACATTATTATAAAGAAATCTAAATGGCTATCACATTTTATTTATAAAAGAAACTGTTTAGCATACTGTACAACTACTGTGTGCTTTATAATGTACTTTATAGGAGTCACAGCTTTGTTCAAAGCCTTTATACACATCCTTACAAAATCTTTCCTAATAAAACAACTTTGGTGTACTGCATACCTTGCGCATATGATAGGTGTAACTAGCATGAAATCTCCAATGTTTATTGCAACTGGAACAGTGATATAATGCTTTCTTCTGGTGATGTGTTCTTTTGTGCAGAGTCAGGTTGGACATGCAACTGAAGGTTTTGTTACATTCAGTGCATGGGTAACCTTTATGAGCCCTCAAGTGTTCAGCTAACAGGGAGGTGTGTGGAAAAGTATAGCCACACTGAGGACACTGATGAGTTCCATGTGAAAGACCATGAACGCAAGCTTGATGTCGCTCAAGGGCTTCTTTCCTGCTGAAGCTCCTGCCACACTGGTCACATAGGCATCCCTACAAAAAGCCAAATTTTAAATACAGTATCCTGAACAAAATGAGAAAGTGCAAAAGAAGCATTTCAATTTATGGAATTCAAGCCAAATCATTATTAAATCACAATATAAAATATACTGTACAGTACTACAAGTATAATTTTGAGCATGCAATACAGTCAATAATAGTTTTATATTTTACATAATGTGCCAAAAAAAAACAGCAGAAGGACAGTGGATCATGGCTCTTGATACATACAAATGAATACGTTTATAAGATTTGACGTATGAAAAACTTTCTGAAGGGTTCCATAAGCAACTATAGGAATTGTTCCCTGTAGGCTTAATTTCTAAAACACCTGTTCCAGTAACAGGACTTACAACTACTTCAAACCCAGTATGGCCACTTGTTTACTTCAACAGTGTACAGGTGCACTATTACTACTAAAGCACCTCTAGTATCAACACATCATGCATTGCTCAGGTTCCCAGCAACATTCAATAATAACTTGAGGTGCATATTATCAAGGGAAAGTGGCAGACACTGTGGGTCATGAAACACTCCACAGAAATGAGTCACTCAAATGTCAGAACTCTACATTCAGTTTGGATTTCATAAACCAATATAAGAATCCTACCACAGCACCCAAAATCACAACGGAGGTAACTGAAAACTAAGAAGAATAACCTAACTGAGAAGCACTAAATCCTAAACTTATTATCTGTGATGGGCGATATTTTAAACTGAATTTGTTGTATAGCAACATAAGATTTGATGGGATTAAAAGATTTCTTTTGCCAATCTTGGACAGATCTGCATATTAATTAGGGACTTGCTTAAATTTCAAATATTTAATACATACTCTTTGAAATAAGACACAGGTGGAACAGCAGCAGCAAAATATAATAAACAGGAGCATGCATCAGGTATTCCATTATTCCTGTGTGGAAATAATAGCTGTATTTAGAGAACCGTCTGGTCTAGAATTAGTGGCACCTGAATGGTCTTTGTGTCCACAAGTTATCCTATTTGAGAGGAAAGTACAAACAATGACAGAGGTTAAAATGTCTCTAATTTGCTGTATATAAATGAGTTACGAGATGAAATAAAAATTTACTTGAACATAGGGTATTTGCAGATGATAAAAAAATCCCATTTATTTTTATATAGCCAGACTTGAGTCCTGGAAATGGGAAGTACAATGCCTGCACTCTAAAGGAGGGGTTTTGGGATATTAGCAGTTTGGAGGGATATGTTGTGTATCTTTATACGTATATGCTTCTAAACTGTTGTGTTCTGAGCACCTCTGCAAAAACAGTGATTATGTGTGAGTGAGGTGAAAGTGTTAAATGATGATGAAAGTATTTTCTTTTTGGGGATTTTCTTTCTTTTTGGGTCACCCTGCCTCGGTGGGAGACGGCCAACTTGTTGAGAGAAAAAAAAAAAAAAAAAAAAAGATCCCATGTGAGATATCAAAGATGAACCTAGGAATCATCATAGGCAAAAGACTATTACCAGAGGATCACAAATGAAATATGGGAAATCCTTATGCATCACTAGATGAATTTAAAATATCCTTTAGATCAGCATTTCTCAAACAGTGAGCTGTGGCCCCTTTGGGGAGTGGGAGAGGAGTAAACCTTAAATAACTGGTGGGTCGTCGGGCACAATGGCTAAAAAAACACTATTTTTACAAACGTATAGGGTTGGGGAAATGTTAATAAGACTGTTCACACCATACTTTTGACAAAAATTGGAATGAGTGGCAGTGGTATAATATCTGCACTTAAAATGAGTATAAAACAGAAAAAATCAAATACAAGCCCCAAATAGCTCCCACATCTAAAAGATGCAAATTACAAAGAAAGACTATTAGAATCAGACATGCCCTCACTGAATCATAGGAGAATAAGAGACATGATCATCACACAAAGTAGAACTAGAGGCACCAAAGGGATACTAGAAAGTTCCTGTTAGTGGAAGAACAAGGATATAATTTACAAGGAGGCAGTAAGTGATACAACAACTGGATATGTTAAAAAATACAATAAGACAAATCAATACCAGAGAGAGATCACTACGAACTTAGCACTGCAACTGTAAGGAATTAGGAGATAATCAGATTTGATCCAATGAAGGAAAGGAAAGCTCCAAATCCTCAGATTAAGAGACACCTCCAGTATCAAAGCACCTCCCTTGAAGGGCTATGAACTGTAGAATTTTTATTACACTTGAGAAATAAGCCTACCTTTAAAAGTGCTGTTAAATCATTATGAAATGACTTCATATGCCGTGGAAGGTATGCAGCACTAGAGAGCTTCACCTGTAGAAAATAAAACAAAATTTCAAGATGGTATTAATGTAAAAAAAAATATGCAGACATAAGCAGAGCTAATGTTGGATATTGAGAGAAAAAAAATAGAACTAGAGGAAACTGTACAAAGCTTTTTAATGTGCAAAAAACTAAACTATCCAATGAGAACCTTTCAGGGAGGGAAGGGAGGTAACTTACTGGTAGTGAAGGGATCTTCATCCAAATACAAAACTAGAGCTAAAATATGATCTCCTGAATTGGATCTATCTTTCCCCTTCTCAGATCAAGTCAATGTGTCCCACATCCCTGTTATGGAGATCTTTATTTATGGGATTGTAAAGCATGCGAAACTAAATAAAATTAGATTGAATGGAGTGTTTACATGCTGCTGTAAGTGGTTACGCAGTGCAGTGCAGTTTCACATTTCAATATAACACTGTATCACAGACACTACGGTACAGTATAACTAAATGTTGTAAAGTGACACTAATGCAATCTTGCCTACAAACAACTGATTTTTTATAATGCTTGAAAATATAAATGGTAAAATGCTCTGGAAGCTTGGAAGCATCAAGCTATGCCTAAAATCTGGGTACTATATCCTATAAAGTTTTTTCTTTTTGACCTAAGCTAAGCCTAATCAAATGTTTGGAGAAACACAGGTCTCCTACCCTACTGCAAGTAAAACTATTAAAAACATTTTTCACATTCTGCAATCTATACGTGTCATCGGCTGCAACTGTCAGCCACTTTAGATGAAAGAGGAAATATCCTCACCATTTATGGTGAAAGACATGCTGGGTTCTTAACCAATCAAGCACCCTGTGGGAAAAGTAGCACTCCCCCTCCCAGGAGAGAAGCCCTTACCTCCGAGCACAAACCACTTGAACCCCACGAACACCTCAAAGTGGCCCAGTATCAGAGGCACTATTATTTTTGCTTAAGAATGCATTATGCCTAGTTTTCCAAATAGACATATAAATATAAGGCTTGCCTGGTTTAAGTGCACAGTATAAGAAAAATACAATAGATAAAGTTGCAACATATAGTATGTGCTTTAAATTTAAAGAAATAATTTAGCACATGTCTAACTTTGGAAATACAAAATACATGCATATATATAGTTCATTTAAAAAAACTTTGGTAAGACACATAGGCAACAGTTAGGCATCTTTAATCCGTAACATTTCACTTTTTCAAGTGAGAACAGTTGGATCTGAGAGGGACGTGACCTCTCAGTGATTACATTCCCCCTCCTACTACTCTATACCTCTCCTTCCAACAGTATACAAGTCTCCACACAATCGCTTGATCTTCACATTTCAGACTATAGAATAGAACTCTTCTCCAGGCTGATTGACTGACAACCTCAAATCTTCATCTTCAAGGGTGATGGACTGATTACATCATCTTCACATCTCTACTGCTCCTGCCTAATTTCTGTACTCAACTGAAGAAGCCTACTGTGTAGGCGAAATGTTTCAGAATAAAGTTGCCTAAATGCTGCCTATGTGTCTTACTTACCAACCTGTCAGCATTGCATACCATTTTGATAAAAAAAACTTTGAAGGAAAGTACACTTTGGATAAAATGAAGGGCAACATGCTGCTCTGTACTGTAAATATTAGAGAAAAGTATAGTAGTAGGTGGAATAACAAAGCCAATTCTCCAACTAATGTATTACAGATCTCGTAGTTAGGAAAAAAGTTAACCCTTAAACTGTCTAAACAGATCTACGTTCACATGCGTAGTGCTCCAAAAGTAGATCTATGTTCTTTTTACATATTTTCAAATATAACAAAAAAAAGTAGAGCAATGCTTTTTTACACGTTTTCAAATGTAAAAAAAAAAAAAGAAGATCTACGTTTTTTTTACATACTTTCAAATGTTGAAAAAACTTAGATCTACATTTGGACAGTTTAAAGGTTAAACAAATAAAACTTAAAATAATAATTATATTATGAATAATAGTACTAAAATATAATTAATGGCTCTTACTGGACAAAATGAACACTTGACTGGCATATTTTTGTAGCATAGTTCAATATGTTTAATGTAATCCCTTCTCACAGCAAAAACACTTTGACATCCTTTACATATATATGATACATTTCTTTTTTCCTTCTTTTTAAAGCACTCATGATTAATATACTCTCTTTTGAGAGGAAAATCTCTTTTACACAAGTCACAACTGATATTACTTTTGCTACATGCTAATTTAGAACTCTCACATACAGAGGAATATTTTCCACTACTGCTACACAATCCTGAATCCAACCCTCTGACATCATCTGTATAATATTCAAATTCTTCTAGCTTCTTTGCTATTTTTCTTCTCTTTGATGGTAATGTATGTACTATATGATCTACACTTATTTCTTTATCCTCCTTTTCAGTAACACTTTCATCTGTTTCACATTTTGAATTAGTATTCTGAATGCAGGGTTCAGAGTTATTCTCTATTTCCAAATTTATCTCAAATTCAAATTTTCTGAAATGTTTATGATGATTTCCACACACTGGAGAATTCTGCATATTATTTTCAGTTTCCCAATATTTCTCTTCAGTTTTTTTTCCAGCAAAATCAAAGTTTTCAAGCTGATTGTCAATCACATTTTTGTAATACACATGATCACTGGATGAAGATTCTGAGCATTGTAGAACTGGTTCAGACTGTTCCTTGCATCTTTCATCAGATGACACATTTGTTATAAAAAGAATTCTGTCATTACCACCATCGACCATTTCTGTCTCACTTGATTCATCAATGTTTAAAAGATTACTACTTATATTTAATTTATCATTATAAAGCTTAAAAAATAATTCCTTTAGTGTTTTAAGTTCCCTTTTATGATAATCTATTCCAAGTGTCAAACGGTAGCATCTGAAGCAAAGTTTAGAAAAACTGACTGTTTGTTTTATTATGTCTCCAATGACTTTGGACACCTGTGTGCCAGTGTGTCGGAGACGAGCAGTGCCCTTGACACCCCTACCTTTATCTACTGTTCGAGAGCATACAAAACAGCAGTCATGATCAAGTTTGCTTGACATTTTTCTGGAAAAAAAGAAGAGAAAGAAATTAAAAATTATTGGAATAAAACTTCAAAATTAAATATGGTGGAATATCTAATAACTGTATGGTGTTTGTCTCTAACTGTTCTTGACAAAACTTATTATATAGAACTACTAACAAAATTAAGAAATCACAAACAACAAACATTATCATATCAAGTTCCTCCAAGATTATAAAGCTGATGATCTTACTGATACTCATAATTACAAGACATTGCCAAACCTGTCAGTGTTTCATTATTTAAATAAATGTTTGCCTAGTTGAAGAATTTCAGGGAAACCTTTCACAAATGTTTTTCATGTTGCACTTGGGCTCCTAATATTTTATTATACATGTAATATAGATTTGCTTAGCTCTGATTATGTTGTTATTACACTAATTCTCTAAAGACTTTTGTATTGCTAAGGTAATGTATAACTGCCTAGTTTTCTCTACAGTTATAGTACAGTATACTTTATGTGAGCCATAAGTTATTTAGTGATTTTCACCAGAAATTAGTTGTGTTAATAGTAATGAGTGTTGCAAAAGCCACTGATCTTGTTCAAGAAGCTGTATTGTATTTCTTCTATGCAGTCTGCAGTTTCTTTATGTCTTACATTTTACAAGTTGTAGCGGCAAGTTGTTCCATCAGAGATTGCAATTAATTTCAATGAAGCCATTATTCACATACAAATGTGATCTAGAATGGTCACAAATGGCTCTGAGTTTTGTGAAATCCTAATATTAATCATACGTAATTACCTCATAATAATTATGAAATGAAAACGTTCATTTCCTTGTAAATCTTACAATGTGTAGTTTACATGATATAAAATATTACAAAGAAGGCCACTAGCATGCCTAGGCATTTTGGGCAGACTAATACTAATTCTTATTCTCTTGATATAGGTTATGGAGCAGTACATTTTAATATACATTATTAGATACATACATACATAATTAGATATATACTGCACATAATTAGGTACATACATAATTAGATTCATATTTATTTTTTTATTTTTATTAACACACTGGCTGTTTCCCACCAAGGCAGGGTGGCCCGAAAAAGAAAAACTTTCATCATCATTCACTCCATCACTGTCTTGCCAGAGGCGCGCTTACACTACAGTTATAAAACTGCAACATTAACACCCCTCCTTCAGAGTGCAGACACTGTATTTCCCATCTCCAGGACTCAAGTCCGACCTGCCGGTTTCCCTGAATCCCTTCATAAATGTTACTTTGCTCACACTCCAACAGCATGTCAAGTATTAAAAACCATTTGTCTCCATTCACTCCTATCAAATACGCTCACACATGCTTCCTGGAAGTCCAAGCCCCTTGCACACAAAACCTCCTTTACCCCATCCCTCCAACCTTTCCTAGGCCGACCCCTACCCCGCCTTCCCTCCACTACAGATTGATACACTCTTGAAGTAATTCTGTTTCGTTCCATTCTCTCTACATGTCCGAACCACCTCAACAGCCCTTTCTCAGCCCTCTGGATAACAGTTTCAGCAATCCCGCACCTCCTCCTAACTTCCAAACTACGAATTCTCTGCATTATATTCACACCACACATTGCCCTCAGACATGACATCTCCACTGCCTCCAGCCTTCTCCTCGCTGCAACATTCATCACCCATGCTTCACACCCATATAAGAGTGTTGGTAAAACTATACTCTCATACATTCCCCTCTTTGCTTCCAAGGACAAAGTTCTTTGTCTCCACAGACTCCTAAGTGCACCACTCACCTTTTTCCCCTCATCAATTCTATGATTCACCTCATCTTTCATAGACCCATCCACTGACACGTCCAGTCCCAAATATCTGAATACATTCACCTCCTCCATACTCTCTCCCTCCAATCTGATATCCAATCTTTCATCACCTAATCTTTTTATCCTCATAACCTTACTCTTTCCTGTATTCACCTTTAATTTTCTTCTTTTACATACCCTACCAAATTCATCTACCAACCTCTGCAACTTCTCTTCAGAATCACCCAAGAGCACAGTGTCATCAGCAAAAAGCAACTGTGACAACTCCCACTTTATGTGTAATTCTTTATCTTTTAACTCCATGCCTCTTGCCAAGACCCTCGCATTTACTTCACTTACAACCCCATCTATGTACATAATGAACAACCAAGATGACATCACACATCCTTGTCTAAGGCCTACTTTTACTGGGAAATAATCTCCCTCTTTCCTACATACTCTAACTTGAGCCTCACTATCCTCATAGAAACTCTTCACTGCTTTCAGTAACCTACCTCCTATACCATACACCCGCAACATCTTCTACATTGCCCCCCTATCCACCCTGTCATACGCCTTTTCCAAATCCATAAATGCCACAAAAACCTCTTTAGCCTTATCTAAATACTGTTCACTTATATGTTTCACTGTAAACACTTGGTCTACACACCCCCTACCTTTTCTAAAGCCTCCTTGTTCATCTGCTAGCCTACTCTCCGTCATACTCTTAATTCTTTCAATAATAACTCTACCATACACTTTACCAGGTATACTCAACAGACTTATCCCCCTATAATTTTTGCACTCTCTTTTGTCCCCTTTGCCTTTATACAAAGGAACTATGCATGCTCTCTGCCAATCCCTAGGTACCTTACCCTCATCCATACATTTATTAAATAATAGCACCAACCACTCCAAAACTATATCCCCACCTGCTTTTAACATTTCTATCTTTATCCCATCAATCCCGGCTGCCTTACCCCCCTTCATTTTACCCACTGCCTCACAAACTTCCCCCACACTCACAACTGGCTCTTCCTCACTCCTACAAGATGTTATTCCTCCTTGCCCTATACACGAAATCACAACTTCCCTATCTTCATCAACATTTAACAATTCCTCAAAATATTCCCTCCATCTTCCCGATACCTCTAACTCTCCATTTAATAACTCTCCTCTCCTATTTTTAACTGATAAATCCATTTGTTCTCTAGGCTTTCTTAACTTATTAATCTCACTCCAAAACTTTTTCTTATTTTCAACAAAATTTATTGATAACATCTCACCCACTCTCTCATTTGCTCTCTTTTTACACTGCTTCACCACTCTCTTAACCTCTCTTTTTTTTTCTCCATATACTCTTCCCTCCTTGCATCACTTCTGCTTTGTAAAAACTTCTCATATGCTAACTTTTTCTCCCTTACTACTCTCTTTACATCATCATTCCACCAATCACTCCTCTTCCCTCCCACACCCACTTTCCTGTAACCACAAACTTCTGCTGAACACTCTAACACTACATTTTTAAACCTACCCCATACATCTTCAACCCCATTGCCTATGCTCTCACTAGCCCATCTATCCTCCAATAATTGTTTATATCTTACCCTAACTGCCTCCTCTTTTAGTTTATAAGCCTTCACCTCTCTCTTACCTGATGCTTCTATTCTCCTTGTATCCCATCTAGATTTATAATAGTGAGGTAATACAAAACATGTAATAATATTACAAATGGTAAATTTAGCAATGGGACCGGATTTGTCTTGGCATGATACATTGTTTCTATTAAAGCTCATATATTGGATGAGTATCTTAGGCAAGCTTAGTACTACAAACTTTAGATTTAATAGGTAACAGCTATACGTATTAGGAATTTTATGTTTACAGTCATTTGGGTGGGTGTAAGTGCAAATTAGGGGGAATTACAGATAATGAGAGTAAGACTATATTGTTCTGAATGTGTTCGTGATACAAAAAAGAGAATTTGGTGATTTTCATTTGGTTAGCTAATGATGGGGTATTAGGGAGATAAAATGTTTTTTAATGGTAGTTTTGAATATGGTGGTCGAGTCTGCGCTTCTAGAGTTTTCAAGTAGGGAGTTCCAGATTTTAGGCCCTTTTATGTACATCGAATTTTTGTAGAGGTTTAGCCAGACATGGGAAATGTCACTGAGATTTTTGTGTCTGGTATTGTGTCTATGGGTCCTGTTGCAACTATCAAGTGTTTCAGTTCAGGGTTAATATTAGAATTTATGGTTCCATAAATGTAGGTTGCACAGTAGTAGGTGTGAATGTTCTGTACAGCAAGCAGGTTTAGGTCTTGGAAGAGTGAGGGTGTGTGTTGTCTTGCACTGGATTGCATGATAATTCTTACTGCAGCTTTCTGTTGGGTTATTATTGGCTTTAGGTGAGTTGCTGCTGTTGATCCCCAGGCACAAATAGCATAGGTGAGGTAGGGATAGATGAGTGAATAGTACAGTGTGAGGAGGGCTGATTGTGGTAGTTAGTAATGTATCTTGGAGAGGATCCCAACTGTTTTGGATACTTTTGTGTTATTTGTTGGATATGGGTGTTGAATTTCAGGTTGCTCTCAAGAAATTTGCCCTCATTATGTTTAGCAATAAGAGTGTTGTTAATCGCTATGTTCATCTAGGCAACACCTGTTCTGTTCCCAAATAGAATGAAGAAGGTTTTGTCAATATTAAGTGTAAGTTTATTAGTCATCCAGGTCAATAGTTTTACTAGCTCTTCATTAACAATAGTGTTAAGTGAGGCAAGATTAAGGTGGGAGATAACGTAAGTCGTGTCATCAGCAAAAAGAATAGGTTTAAGGTGTTGTGATACATTAGGAAGATCATTAATGTATAAGAGGAAGAGAAGGGGACCAAGGACACTTCCCCGTGGTACTCCAGTATCCAGCGATCTTATTGATGAGGTTGTGTTAGTAAGGTAGGATTTGAAATATGTAAGTGCGTGGTACCTTTGCTCAATAATAATCCACGTGGAGACAGAAACACAGCAGATTAATTAATCTGTATATATCGAACCCCTCTGGGATCCTCTTCAGATGAAGAAGGGGGGCTGAAATATACGTACAGTTCAATTTATCTCCTGAGTTTCTGCCTCCATGTGGATTATGCCTACGATGGCCTGTCTTCATTAACATGTTCATCATATCATTTTTTTTTTTAAATTTCAATTGTGATGGCACTTACATGCTATCAAAGCTCCTCTTTCTTTCTTATTAGCCAGCATGGGCATCTTCAGTGCTTTCAGCCTTTGAACTTAACTCATATTTTTTTTTTAGCTCTGGTATTTATTCTATAACCATTATTTGGACCATAATAAAATTATCTCTTGTGATCAACAGTCTATAATGTGTGTATTAGGTAAACACAGATTGCTCAAGAAAACTGTTAATTATGAGATTATATAACTATCTACTTCAATGCAAATGACAAACTCTTCAATATTTTTAAGATATTCCACATAATGTTTGGGAATAAAACTATAAATACTCAATTAAACATATAGGAAAATAATATGCACACTGAAAGACAAAATTAGGTATACACATTGACAGTAACTTAAAATTCAATAATCACATCCAGCACATACTAAAACAATTGCTTGAAGGGTGTACATTCTTTAAAAAATACATTGATATGATGTACAGGGTCTCAGACAACATTAATCACTCTGTATTATTCTCTAATCTATCCTTAGCTCACTTATGGTATATATGCAACGAGTATGACAATGTTCAGCAAATTACCTAAAACCTATTGTAAATCAACAAAAATCTACTCTTAGAATTGATCACTCAATCAGATTCTAGATAATAAAAACCCTTATTGGGTGTTAGTCGACTGGTGTGGGTCGCAGCCTGTGGCAAAACTGACCTAATTTACCCGAAATGCTCTGCAAAACAAATGGCTTTCTATATAGTAGTATGTCATTGATGTCAGCTAGGACTGTATACCTTGTACATGTACTTGTAGACAAAAAAAAAATATCATTATTATTATCATATCTACATCTCCACAACTTTTGCTGTTTCCTCTGTATTTAGACTGAGGAAGCCTGGACCAGCAGGCAAAACATCTCATCAATAAAGGTACAGGTATACATAAATACAATTATCACACCTAGTAACGTGTAAATTAACTAAACCTGTAGGGGTCATAAAGCACCTGGGAAAAATATGAGGCACTCAGGTTCGATGCAAGGAAGGGGAAGACAGGTAGGGGTGTTAGAAAAAAAAAGGGGGAGGGGAGGCAGGAAAATGGTGTCCCGAGCAGTGCACCCTGTGGGCACGGGTAGAAAATGGCGCCCCGAGCAGTGTACTCCGTGGGAATGGGTAGAAAATGGTGCCCTGAGCAGTGTATCCTGTGGGCATGGGTAGAAAATGGTGCCCCAAGCAGTGTACCTCGTGGGCACGGGTAGAAAATGGTGCCCCGAGCAGTGTACCCCATGGGCATGGGTAGAAAATGGTGCCCTGAGCAGTGTACCCCATGGGCATGGGTAGAAAATGGTGCCCCAAGCAGTGTACCCCGTGGGCACGGGTAGAAAATGGTGCCCCGAGCAGTGTACCCCATGGGCATGGGTAGAAAATGGTGCCCTGAGCAGTGTACCCCATGGGCATGGGTAGAAAATGGTGCCCCAAGCAGTGTACCCCGTGGGCACGGGTAGAAAATAGGTGCAATTAGTCACCTCGATTAGTGATCTCTTTTCTGCTACAAGTAATTTGCTCAGATGTTCTCCTTCACGATACTTGCAAGTTACTCAGAGGTTCTTCTTCAGGATACGAGTAGTTTGCTGATTATTAAACAAAAAACATGGGGGAGCGCTAAACCCCTAGGGATTAAACAGCGCCTGTGGGGGGGGGGGGAGAATGGAAGGTATTCAGACTCACAAGTTGGAGCACAGATCCAATTCCCTAGATCCAGAGCCCCTCACCAGCGTGAAGGAACCTCCCTAGAGTGGTCAGTAGTTTGCTAAGAGGTTTCTTCTTCTCCCGACGACTGCACGAATTGTGATGTAGAATTACTATAGCTGTGTTGCTTCAGCAATGTCTGTCGTCACTGCAGCTGCTTACAGAATCAACGTCCTAGTTGTTGTTGCTGTTGTTTGGGTTTAAAGGACCACTGACAGCATACGCCGTATCGAGCCCTGCCTTCCAGCGCTCGGAAAAGGAACCTTGACCTAAGTGGAAGGATGATGCCTAATGCGCCCTGAAGCCAGCAAGAATACTCAGGTACAGGCCAAGATCTCCTGACGGTCTGGAGGGTCAAACCCCTCCCCATTGAGAAGGAGAGATAGGGCTACAGATTGTACTCTAAACGTGCACAAGTCCGCACGGAGAATAGTCCGTGCAGAGTGGTAACGTGGACACCACAATAGGAAGTGTTCCACCGTCCCAGGCCGAGAGGGACACCACGGGCAGTACGGAGAGTACGTCATCCGAAGCCGGTGCAGATGAGCTGCCAGTCGTGAGTGCCCAACCCGGAGGCGAGTCAGTGCAAAATCCACCGAGCGATTGGGACGGCGAGCCCCAAGGGTAGAGGCCATTGAAAGATCGGACAGGAGGATCTGGAGCGTACCAGATCCTCCTGCCATAAATGGAGGACTTCCTTCCAAACAGTCCTTGTGAAATCACTGCGGCCCAGTGCAAGACGGGTAATGATAGGAAGTGCGTGTGCAAGGGAGGCCGCTCGATCAGCCACTTCATTGCCCCGAATGCCAACATGGGCCGGTAGCCACTGAAGGGAGATATTCCAACCCGGACTCCGCAAGAAACGCTGAAGAAGAAACTGCATCTGTCGGAGGTAGGGACCGTGGACGAACAGAGCACAAAAGTGTCAGGGAAGACTGGGAATCAGAGAAGAGAACCACAGGCTGAAGTGAAGAAGGCACCAGAAGACGTAGAAGAAGTTCGTGCTGAACCGTCTGTGTAGATGAAGAATGAAAAACCATACTTGGCAGCACAAAACTCTTCAAAAAGAAATACAGCTAACCTGAGGGGTTTCCTGTTCTCGTAAGGCCAATCCGAGTGGATGTACCGTGTCAGGTCCATCCAGGAAGGGGGGACCAGAGAATGGAGAGGGAAGGGAGTCATCACCAGCGCAGGGAGTGAGATGTAGATGAATGGTCAGCAGGGAGTGAGAGGTAGGCCAGGGAACGTTGGGCACTGGCCACAAAGGAAGGCTGAACCAAACGTGGGGAGACAGAGGCTGCCTTCCACATCCGTGTAGAGAGGTGGCAGAGGTGAGTACAAGGCAGAGAGGCCATTTGATGGAGTCGTAAACTGTTCCTCGCGTCTCACTGATGAGAGGGGGACTATCCTAGACTTCGCTTCCAAGGCTGCAAACAGAACACAAAGAGTAGTAGTAAACAGTGAAGTCTGAGGCGGCTACGGTGAAAAGCTCTGAACCACAAGGCATAGTGCTCGCTCCCATCATGTTCCTCATCCTCATATCTGACATAGACAGGAATATAAGCCACAGCGCCGTGTTTCCTTTGCGGATGACACCCAAATTTACCTGACAATGTCCTCCATTGAAGACACCACAAGACTCTAGGCGGACATCAACTAAATCCTTAAATGGACCGCAGAAAACAATATGAAGTTCAACGATGAGAAATTTTAACTATTCCGATATGGAAAATGTGAGATCAAAACTACTTCGGAGTATAAAGCAAATTCCAACCACACAATTCAAAATTCAAATTCAAATTCAAATTCAAAGTTTATTCTCTATAAGGATTACAATGCTGAGTTTACAGAAATTTGGTTATTGTTTGGTTTACATGTAGTAAAATTGTGATTACAGAGTGTACCACTAGAACGCTTAGCATGGCTAGGCATTTCGGGCATACTTAGTTTTATTCTTAATTGTAAAATATTACAAATTATGAGGTAAGTTGGTATTATGGCTAAGTGACTAAATACTAGTGCGGAAAACTAATGTAAAAGACCTGGGAGTGATTATGTCAGAAGACCGCACCTTCAAAGACCATAACATTGTATCAATCGCATCTGCTAGAAAAATGACAGGATAGATAATGATAGATAATGGCCCGGTGGTCTGGTGGCTAAAGCTCCCGCTTCACTCACGGAGAGCCCGGGTTCGATTCCCGGCGGGTGGAAAAATTTCGACACGTTTCCTTACACCTGTTGTCCTGTTCACCTAGCAGCAAATAGGTACCTGGGTGTTAGTCGACTGGTGTGGGTCGCATCCTGGGGGACAAGATTAAGGACCCCAATGGAAATAAGTTAGACAGTCCTCGATGACGCACTGACTTTCTTGGGTTATCCTGGGTGGCTAACCCTCCGGGGTTAAAAATCCGAACGAAATCTTATCTTATCTTAACCTTCAAAACTAGAGATGCAAAGCCCATGATGACACTTTTCAGTTGCTTGTTCTATCTAGGCTGGAATATTGCTGCACACTAACAGCACCTCTCAAGGCAGGTGAAATTGCTGACTTAGAAAATGTACAGAGAACCTTCACGGCTCGCATAACGGAGATAAAACACCTCAATTACTGGGAACGCTTGAAGTTCCTGAACCTGTATTCCCTAGAACACTTGGAAAATCCTAGAGGGACTAGTACCAAACCTGCACACGAAAATCACTCCCTATGGAAGCAAAAGACTCGGCAGACGATACAACATCGCAGGGGTGTCACTAGCACGTTAAGAGACAACACAATAAGTGTCAGGGGCCCAAGACTGTTCAACTGCCTCCCAGCATACATAAGGGGGATTACCAATAGACCCCTGGCTGTCTTCAAGCTGGCACTGGACAAGTAAAGAAGGAAAGAAACACGCCCAATGTTTCTACCCTGGCGGGAATTTACCCTATTCCAAACTACCATTCCTCCGTTTCCCCCCAAACTACTTCTTAAATCACAGCCTGAGCTTCGTCTTGAAGCCAAACAGGATGCCTTAAGCTGTATTGATAACTTAATCACACAGAACACTCTCAAATTATTTGCATCGATGGTTCTGTTCACCAGTCCACTGGTGCAGCTGGTAGTGCTGCTGTTGTCATACAGAGTGATTGCTCTCAAAGAAATTGGAGCACGCATCCATAACTGGGCCTCTACCCTCCAAACAGAACTGTTTGCCATACTCCTTGCACTCAAATGCGTCCATGTATCTAAGGTTGACACTTTATTTGTAACTGATTCTCTGTCATCCATAAATGCTCTCGACTCATTAAGTATAAATTGTGGCATGCTTGTGTCAGAAGCCAGACACAGGTATGGTAAGATTGTGGACAGTGGAGTCAGAGTGCACATGCTGTGGATTCCATCTCACATTGGTTGTGGAAATTTATTTGGTCCCTAAAGTTCCACAGGACAGATCCAGCATGGCTGTACGGGACGGCTGAGCTGGATGGCCCTTATACCCCACCCAAACAAATAGCATTCTCTCTCGTTGGCATGGATTGTTGGTAAGGTTATTTAATTTATAGATTTACTCTTCAGGGAAGGAGTAGGTAGTTTTACTGGTAGTACACTAATATCAGGATTATTGAGACAACTGTAGATAATAATAATGTAGACCTAAGACCTTAACATAGGTAGTAATAGGCCGATAATGTAGGCAAACACTAGGATAAGTTAGCTAGGGAAAACTGGCAGCCTAGTTTGAACGAAGAGACGAGGGTCTGGAAGAGGGACCAGCTCGTTCTTCTTAAGACAGACACCAACTGGACAAGACGTGCCGTGATCAGCAGACGGTGCCCCCACGTGTCTTCACATTTGAGACCTGGGGAAATCTGGTAGAGGCACCTCGATGTACCGTAGATGACCTCCGTCAGGCCCATACAGTAAGACAAGACCTCCTTTATCTCGTAGATTTCTGGCCAGTGTCTGGGGAGATTGTGAGTGAGTTTATCTGTGGGCCTGTGTTGCAGCTGGCAGAGCATGCCCAGTAAGTACCAGTGTCTCAGAGCAGTCTGGAAGCTAGTGTCTGAGTCTGCATAGTTATACTAGGGGATACATACCCTCTTGGATATAGGAATTTCTGAGGTGCAGGCAGGACACTAATAACGATTGAATATTGCAGGAATTAAGGCTCCCGGTTGCACGTGATTTCTGAGGGAAAGTCCAAAGGGGCTAAGGCTAAGCTTAGGGAAGTTGAAGATCAGGATAAATGCTGCAACACCAAGTAAGTTAGTCCTTTATACGTGCATGCAGGCGAGTTTCTTGCAACACCAATCATTTGTGAAAATCTGTCCTATAAGCCACTTGTGAGGCTGAGGTACCCACCTCAGAGCTCGGTGTCAACAGAGTTTGCCAGGGTAGGTGACTCACTTGGAGGCAGTCCACACAAATTTTCACATTGGTCTTCGGATGCATGATAGAACTGATAAATTGGCTAAACTGTATGCTTTCAAAGAGGGAGTAGATTACAATCTTCGGTTGTCAGCTAGCAGTTTGAGATTAATAATACGAAAGAACTTCATCTGAATTTTATTGACTTAAGACTTAGGGAGACTGATACCAGTCAGTCCATCTATCATTATTCTATCATGCAGGAGGAGCCACATGTCTATGGTACATCCAACAAAATAAGCCGACTCTTGGATGTCACTACCCCCCGGCTCCGGCTGGGTTACAAGTATTTTTGGCAGGTAAAATCACCACCACCAGATGTAGACCAAACGAAATGTAAACTTTGCCAGATGGACTGGTGTCACACCTTGGGTCATTATGTACTGGAGTGCGATAAAATTAATGAATTCAGAGACAACTCACTCAGAAATGTTCAAGATATGTCTAAACATTTTATCCACAGTGGTATATTACAGACCATTCTGGAAAAATACCCTGACTTTGCTCCCTGTAAATAAAGCATTACCACGTGTGTGTGTGTGTGTGTGTGTGTGTGTACTCACCTAATTGTACTCACCTAATTGTGGTTGCAGGGGTCGAGACTCAGCTCCTGGCCCCGCCTCTTCACTGATCGCTACTAGGTCCTCTCCCTCTCTGCTTCCTGAGCTTTGTCATACCTCTTCTTAAAACTATGAATGGTTCCTGCCTCCACTACTTCACTTGCTAGGCTATTCCACTTCCTGACGACTCTATGACTAAAGAAATACTTCCTAACGTCCCTGTGACTCGTCTGAGTCTTCAGCTTCCAGTTGTGACCCCTTGTTTCTGTGTCCCCTCTCTGGAACATCCTATCTCTGTCCACCTTGTCTATTCCCCGCAGTATCTTGTATGTCGTTATCATGTCTCCCCTGACCCTTCTGTCCTCCAGTGTCGTCAGTCCGATTTCCCTCACCCTTTCCTCGTACGACATTCCCCCGAGCTCTGGGACTAGCCTTGTTGCAAACCTTTGTATTTTCTCTAACTTC